TACGTGTTGGATATAGGTCCTCCTCATTTATTTTACTCAGTCAAAAATTAAATGTGTTAGTACACAAAATATAATAATTAAAAATTGAAAATTTTGTACAACCGCCTTCAATATAAATTATTAAAAATAACTCTAAAACTATTGGACAGACCTTAAACGCACATTAAAAAAAACATACAGTCGAATTGAGTACCGTCTCCTTTTTGAAGTGGGTAGAAAAGGCGCTCGTTTGTAACCAGAGTACGGATAACAGAATAAACGATAGTATCCTAATAGTTCATGGGACGGACAAAACTTAAAAGTTGTGGGTTCTCATCCGAGATTTGTTTAACTGGCGTTAACGACTCCGAACACAAGCATTTAAGGCTTAGAGACATTCACGACATAACAAGTAACGTTGACAGTAATGCTATTTTAATTAAAAAAGATGAAAACAAAATTAAATAACTTAAAAAACTGTATTAATAAAATGAGTACCTACATTATTTCTTTGCTGTAATAGGTTGTGCTCACACAGAATAATGAATATAGCAGCTTAATGCTGCTGTCTCGTTTGGTGAGTGTAGAGAACCGGAGAACCTTTTTACTGGAAAAGGGGTATTTCATCTTAGTACTCACGGCTGACAACGCATCTGCATTTTTATTCGCTAATGAGGATAAATGTAGATGTCTCTGTGCCACAGCAACCACTTACCATCAGGTGGACTGTGTGATCTCTTGTACCCTTATCCTATATAAAAAGCAACCTTAAATCAAATAAACCGATGGATACCACAGATAAAAAAGACAACAGATGCATTGTTGCCTACTTCACCTTCAAGGACTAAAACAAAATACTTCACCGTATACTATGTATTTACTAATACCCAATCTATGGCCTTCAGCAGGGGGCAGGATACTTCCGATATCCTGTAACGGTAATAGCAATAACAACTACATATAATATACAGTTGAGAGGAAAATTTTACGATATTTTATATACCTAATTTTTATTCTTATCTATTTTAACCGACTCTAAGAAAAGACTGATTCGCAATTTTACTGTATTGAGTAATGAGCCTTTGACTCAAATTTAGCCGCGTCAAACACTAGTGCTATAGTATAATATAAGTAATATGTTTTAGTTTAGTTCTTGATCGATTATACTGTAGTGATAGCAAGTTCTTTCCATTAGGTGGACTAAATGTTCGTTGGTCTCTCAATATTTAATTAAGGAACTTAAAAAAAAAACTAACATCTGCTTTAATGATTTTATAAAAGCATGGGTTAGTTATAGATCTCGTAACTTATGGAACGAAACTGCATTCTCCTTGTAAATCATTCACGTTTTATTTCCAAGCTTCAGATTTATAATTAGGTCTACTGGCGTTCTAATTTGGAAAGTTGTTTCATGCTTCTTGACGTCATTCGTTCAGTGCCAATAAAACACTTAGGGCTGATTTTTTAATCCTTAGATAAAATTAATAATTTAAGGTTAAATTTACAGCCTATATTAGCCCCAATGCTGGGCACAGGCCACCTTTCATTTCTGAGAGGGTTTTAGGGCAAGAAAATGTTCGCCGCATTGCCCCAATTTCGGCGGACTTCACATGTCTTCAAAATATTGTTTTTTCTTATTTATCAGACATATTTGCCTTCACCACCTAACACGTGGTAAATCACTTAAAATTGCAATTAAAATTTTCATTGGTGCCGGCGGGGCTCAAACCCGGGTTGCTCGCATACTGTGAAATTTATGTCGAGTGCTTAGCCCCCTAACTACCACGGCTCATAGGTTAAGTACAAGATTAACTGATTAGAAATTAGTTTATATTTAGTCAGGTTAGAATTTATTTCATTGACCCTTATAGGTCTTTATTTGCACAAGAAAACTTGTAGGACATTATTTGCATAAGAACACTGCCATAAAACAAATTAAATAATATTCAGTGAGTTCATATTGTGTTCGACCTGAAACAAAACCGTGGGCTGCACCGACTATCTCGGACGTCGCGTCGGTGCGAATGCCCTCGGTAGACCTTTCGTTACGTCATGATGCAGTACAACCAACATCAGGATGTCTTCGATTGTTTTATATTTTGTGTTATTTTTATATTATAATTTTATTTCCCTACCAGCTATCCGCCCCGGTTTTACACGGGTGATTTCTGAATCTCGACAATAGCGCCCATTTAAATACACACAAAAAATTTCATCAAAATCGGTCAAGCAGTTTAGAGTTTTAGACAAACTAACGGACAGCAATTGATTTTTATAATATAGAGATTTTATTTATAAGTATCTATACAAATAAAATTGAAGTGTCTGTTTGTAATGTAAAAATTACAGTTTTTTACTAAATGCATATGAAAGTAAATACGGTACTTATATCTAAAATACAATTTTTAAAATTTTTGTCTGTCTGTCTGTCTGTCTGTTTGTTCCGGGTAATCTCCGAAACGGCTGGACCGATTTTGAGGGGACTTTTATTGGCAGATAGCTGATTTCATAAGGAGTAACATAGGGTACTTCTATTTTAGAAAAATAATTATGGTTCCGCACAAAACATAAAAACCCTAACACGCGAGCGAAGTCGCGGGAACAGCTAGTATGTAATATATGTATTTAGTGAAGGAAATGAAACTCAGGACGGCAGGCAGCATCTTCCTGATAACAAATTAAAATAATAAAAAGACGATATTATACACGGAAAGAGAATGTGATAGATAGTAATAATGACGATGCTGATGAATGTTTCATATACAATTTTTATATTTAGTGTGGAATACAAAAAGGACCGTATTTTGAGAAATTCTTTAAAGGAAGCGTTTGTCTAGCAGTAGCCTTGTGACGGACACTAATGATCGTGATGATGATGAATGTTTTATATACAACTTACCGGGTGTACCTTGCATGTTGATGCCGCAGAAAAAAAATTGTGGAAATACCGTTTCAAATTTGGAAGACTAGAAGATATTGTTTAATTAGGAATGATAATCTTCTTCTATAAAATAAAAATTAATCGTTGAATATGTTGCTAAGCGGAAATCTCGAGAGCAGCTGAATCGATTTCGCTAATTCTTTTTTAATTTTCTTTCCTTGAATTACGAAGATGGTTCTTACTGAGAGAAAATTAAAAAAAATGCCAAAAAAGTTTAAAAACAACACTTTTCAATATTCCCATACTAAAGATTCGTAATAATACTTAAAAGTCAATTTGAGCTTTAATACCATATCATAAAGTTTAAGTGTTAGTGGAGTGGTTCCAGGAAGGCAAAACAATTAAGTGACGTTAGTATCGTATAAATATTATTTATTATTTCAATATTAATGTTAATATTTATACACACTGGCAGATGTAGCAGGCAGGAGTAATTTGGGCTCCTTTTATTTTAGGGTTCCGCGAAAAATAATTACACGCGGGCGAAGTCGCGGGGAACAGCTAGTATGATATAAATATGGTTCAACTTCAATTAATGTATTAAACACTTATTTATAAAGTTATAACTTTGAAATAAATTTGTCGGTACGATACGCGTGCCACTCAGTATAAGTTGATTGTACCTATAACCTTCGCGCAAGTGCCAGCAATATGTTGACAAACTCATCTGATGAACGGTATTACAGCGCATAAAATACGAACATACAAAAATTTATTTTATATAGTAGATTATTAGATTTAGTGCAGAATACAAACAAAATGCCCGGGATTTTGCAGTGACTAGTAAAACTGAATTGTTTTTTGTCGACAGTACTTTTAATTATGTTCAGTGCATTACTTTGAAATCTTCAAAGGGTAAATATTAATTATCTCCGTTTCCAAGAATGAACAATAACCCTTGCTTGTAAAGCGTATTTCAAATTCTTCCAACATTTTAACTTTTTGCATTTGTTTTCCGGGCAAATTAAATTACCTGTTTCAGATATAAAAGATTTGAACTAATATTCCAGCCTTTGTTATTTTATTATAATTAAGGTGGTTCTAATTTTTTCTTTAACTTGTGTTTAAATTTAAAATAATTTAAGGCTATTCCGTGTATAAATCGTCATTATCATCATTGCAGCCCTTTAATAGTAACAAGTTCATTCCTAAATACAGACCTATATAGCTCTCCTACATAAGCTATTACGGCTCATAAATGTTACTACATCGAATGTAAACAAAGTTTACTATAATTTTTTGTCAAAAAATATGCGAATAGGCCAGCAGCTCTATCGAGCGGAGAGCCGTTGGCAACAGGCAACAGGGAAAACCAAGCCATGAGATGGGCAGCAGCATTCTTCTGGTAGCAACTTAATAATAAAAAATTTGCAGCTGCCGAGCGGCCTGTGAAGCGTAGCAATTATGGTAAACATACCCCATCGGCAAAGTGCACAAGTGTTTGCATATAAGTATTTGTTTAATTTTCACGTGTACGGTGGTGAAAGAAATGGCGATGTAACTTGCATGTCTGAGACATTAAAAAAGTATTTAGGAAACATATTCATATATTTTGGTAGCTTTTTTTTAGGTAATGGATTTTTTTTATAGGATAGGGTGACAATCGAGCACACAGTCCACCTGATGGTAAGTGGTTGCTGTGGCCCATAGACATCTACATCTATCCTCGTTTGCGAATCAAAATGCAGATGCGTTGTTAACCGTGAGGACTAAGATGGAATGCCTCTTTTCCAGCAAAAAGGGTCTTCGAGTTTCTACACTCACCATACGAAACATAGCAGTGTTAACCTGCTATTTTACGCTGGTATTCTGTGAGAGCGTGGCCCTGCCCCGGTCGAGCCGACCCATTCATGCTACAACTATACAATTAATATAGCTGCAGCTTGGCTCTACCACGTACAAAATCATATATATCCATATATTAAATTGTAGACCCGGTGACTATAGTTACGCTAAATATATGAAGCATGCGATACAATGTCGTTGCAAATAAATTCTCCCAAGGGCTGATAAAGAAGATAGAATGTAATTTTATTAAGTTATATAAAATGTTATACGTTAATAACTCATAAGATCTTACTTCATCATTGAGATCATCATCTTCGAAAGCAGAGGAAAGTGGCCTCCCACGTTGTGCTCGCGCTCCTCTTGAATCAAAAAGTTCATCTGTTGGAACCTCGATGTCATCTAAGGCGCTTTTGATCCGGTTCTCGACGTCAAATCGTATGCGGTCTCGATCTGGCTCGCTGGCAACTGGAACTTTGCCGTCTAATCGATCGAGCACAGGTCGATAATAGCTCTCTCCTTTGTTGTAGTTGCAATCATAGACGCGTGTGCGTCTGCCTCTACCGACACGGCTCATTTTGTCTATGTTCCTGCGAATACACGAAGACCATGATATATTGACTTTTTTCCGACCAAGTTCATGATTAAATATCAAGTTTTTTAAAAAAAAAAATGGTTACATTTATTTTGTTACCTATATGCGGGTATACAATGTTCCTATGCAAAAGGATATAATAAATGGTTGTTTGTTTTATATTATGCGCTATTCTAAGGAAAATAATCAATCTCTATACAATACAAGCAGAGAGTCCTATCCTAATAAAATTAGGGATGTTATTTGATTTCAATTTGCTAAATCATCATAATGCTTATCAACATTACTGACTACATGTTACTCGTATTTTAGTTGAATACGTTGCAGTCAATATTTACTTGAATGTGTCACAGACACAGCGCCTTTCATTCACCAACCGTAGTCAGCCTGTTACTGGCTATTCGATATTATTATAGTGGATTTTCGAATTTACCAATGGACGCATGTTTGTAGTAGCCCAAAGTGTATTGAGAGCATTATTGTCTTTTAAGATTACATGGAAACAACAAAATATCTCTCAGTTTGCTTTTGTGTTTGACGAACATTTTGGAGATAACTTCCGCATTGTTTAATATAATTTTAATGTCTCGTACTCTCTATTGGTATAGTATAAGATAATCACTTTCATGGAGGAATTAGTTTGTTATTCCGATCGGATTATGTGCCGCAAACGAACATAGACTGAAAAGCGATTATTAAAGCATAATATCTAAGTACAAAAATCATTGCCGATGTGCTTTTCAGAATTAATAATATTATGTTATGGTTTTATTTTGAACTTCTATTAAAGATTTAAAGATATCACTGATTACTAAGCATATTTGGTGTTAATGTATTAGTTTTGGTAATCAGTTATTAGAGGTTTGATTTATATGCTACTTTGACAAACAAGAAAAATTGTTTAGTTTATAGCAATATTGATTATATAAGTATTTATTTCGTACGATTATTGTACAGCGCTAGCCATTTACATAGTAAACAAAAAAGATAATGATTAACGTCTTTATACTGTGTATTTTTGTATTGTTTACTATGATAATCAAACATCAAAAATTGTTATTTAAGTACAGCACAGTATTTAATTTTCAATTATATATAAATTGTAAATTAAATAAATTAGAAAACTTGTATCCCGACGTTTAACTTAGTAGCCTAGATGACAAATATTAAGTGACAAAATAGTAAAATGAAATTCATGTGATTGTGTATTAAAAGTTAAGCACGAGTATTTTCTTTGCGTTCATGTTGCATGATATCCTCCGTTTAAAAATACTATTCTGTTGTTTTTATTTCCCGTTTCACTTGTTCATATTTTGATAGCACGACATTTCAATTTCGGATCCATAATTTGAATTTTAGTTTTTTACACTTTAGTCTTTTATAACTGCGATAGACATCGTCCAATAAAGCAAATAAAGAGATTAGCGTTAAGATCCAATATTTAAAGGATATTAGATTTCCTTTGTTGAGGGCTGAATTTCAATTATCAAGTATAAGTTATTCATAAATTAAAATACAACATAAATAAATTAAAAATTACAAATGTATGAATAACATCATGATTTCCCAATCATCATAAATAACACATGTGATGATGATGATGATGAATAAAATGATTCAATTGCTTCACTTTAAATTACATTGTAGTCAGGTTATAATTTATTCAAGAACAAAATTTGACTGACTATTGAAAAGTGAGCCCTAAATTATATGCTTTTGTAATGCCCACAATTTTTTTTACAACTATTGGGGAAGGAAGTCTTTATTTAACGTTTCTAAAACGTAGTGATTATATTCTCTTTGGTCTTACGTCAGAGCTATTGAAATTGCCATACACAAGGTATCTTGCCATTATATAGAGATGTTACGCTGTAATAGAATATATAACGGCAGCCATTATATCAGTCTTTAAAAACAAACAAAGCCAACTGAAGAGCGTAATTTGATCTATTGCTAAAGAAAATTAAAGTATGAATAATTAATAAGATTCTACACGAATATAATGATAAAATCCTTGATATAAATAATAAGTACCTATGTAATATTTTATGTAATTTTGGAAGATTATAAAAAGTCACACAATAAGGTCGAGTAAGTGAAAAAACAAATATTTGGTATAATTCTCTCAAACTTTACTCAATGGAAGTTTTCCGAAACTCACGCGACGCAAGCGACGTTCAGTGAAACAATTTCAAAATAGATATCTTAAACATTCGATATGGAGATATTTTTAGTAGCAAAACCCGGTTTTTGTTCGTTCGACAAGACGTATTGTATGCACTCTGTATGTTAAACGGCACAACTAAAAATAAACTCGCGAACGTAATCCGAACTTGCATTACGATTGAAATTAAAATTGTATGATATTTAGGAATCGTTAAATTAAAGATACGAAAACAGCAGAGGAAATATTAATAAAAATAAGTCGCACTGCATTAAAATTTAAAACATTGGGGTAAGAGAATTCGCATTAACGGCTTTTACAGTTAGGTAAGGTTTAGTGAATTTCACTGACCTGGCACGTGTTCAGGCGTCGAGAAGGCAGATGGGACTGGGCAGTTTGGTAGCGGCGCTTGCGGTGTTTAAAGCGGCGTAGGCGTTACTATGTTTAACCGTGAGCTACACAGAAATATATTGACTTTTGTTACAGTTGATTTCCTAGTCGGAAAACTGAGGTTGCGCGTGCACCGCCCTTGTTATCCACAAGAAATCCTTACCTGTGTGTTAAAAGGTAAAATTAAGTCAATTCATCATCAACATCATTAAGAACCCATTCAAATCCACTGTTGAACGTAGACCTCCTCAATGATTTTATTTTTATTTTCTATTTGTTATTAGGAAGATGCTGTTGAACCTGCTGTCCATCACTTGTTTTGTTTCCCTCTGTCATTTCCCACGACACCCACGAGATATTTTGCGATTATGGATATTTCCAATAAGTAAATTATTATTGTTAATTATATATAAAGCGTATATAAAGCGGCCAAATGCGAATCGGACTCCCCCATGAAGGGTTCCCTAGCAGCAAGTAACATAATTTACGATTTAAGACGTATTAAAAAAACTACTTACTAGATCTCGGCCAAACCAATCCTCTTGAAACTGTCGGGCGAGCACAGCGTGACACACCACGAACCCCTTCAGCCAGTAGTGATGCAGTCCGTCGAGCCCCGGACTTTTCCAGTTCGGGGCCCTACGGACCGCCTCAGCTACGTCATCCGGCGTTATGATGACGGGGTCCATGGGCGTAATATTCGCACACTGAATTTCCGGTGGAAGTTTACATGGTAATGTATCATATATTTTTTTTGTTTTATCATTCTCTTATTTTAGAAGTTACAGGGGGGGGGGGACATACATTTTACCACTTTGGAAGTGTCTCTCCCGCAAACTATTCAGTTTAGAAAAATATGATGTAAGAAACCTCAATATAATTTTTTAAAGACCTATCCATATATACCCCACACGTTTGATGAAAAAAATTTTTTTCACTTTTAGTTTAAGTATGGGATCCCCAAAATTTCTTGTTTTTTTTTCTATTTTTGTGTGAAAATCTTAATGCGGTTCACAGAATACATCTACTTACCTACCAACTTACTTTTCAACAGCATAGTTCTTATAGTTTCGGAAAAAAGTAGCTGTGATATACGGACGGACAGAGAGACAGTCATACATGACGAATCCATAAGGGTTCCGTTTTTTGCCATTTGGCTACAGAACCCGAAAAATGTATTTATGATTTTTGTATATTGTTATTATTTTTTATCTTTTACTAGTGGACTTTTACAGTATGTAAAAGTTCACTGCCGTACCTGGGCCTCAACAAAATTCACCGTTCGCGTGCAATCCCGGCCTAAATCCGCTGGCTCCAATTATATTGTCAATTGCAATTTTAAGTGCTGATTTGGCACATGTTCAGCGATGAATGAAAATATCGTGAGGAAACCTGCATGTCTCAGGGATAAAAAAAATCGAAAACAAGTTTGCCAAAACGCACTGGAGCAGCACCGTAAACTAAATCCCAGGATACTCTAGGGGACATTTTGCCCCGCAAAACGACGTGGAACACTCAATCTACCCAAGTATATCCAAGGTCAATACGCCGCTCCTTTTGTCCCCAAGTATATCCAATGCTTTATTGCTCTATAACCTTTTTAGAAATTAGGGTATACCTGTGCCTAGCTGGGGGTCTCTTTTTGTAGAAGTGAGGGCAAACGAACTTTGATGCTCAAGTGACTGATGGTAAGTGACTAGTGCCGCCCATGAACTGCAACACCAGAAGAATAGCAGGCGTGTTGCCGATCTTTTAAGCTAAATAGACTGTAGCAAAACTTTTAAAATACTTTTTATATAATTTTGCTTTATTTATTTGTTTACGAGTAACGCTAAAGTTGCACAAATGGAAGAGTCAAAGCGGTCTAAGAACTCTTTACTTTTGACAAAATATGACTGCACAATAGACTGTCACTTGGCAGCCAATTTCAATGCTGGGATATCTGCCTTATTGTTTTCCGTATAATAAACGCTTTAGTACTGTGTGTCCATTATTTCATACAACACGAGTAATGTCTATCTTTTTAAATATTACTACTTAAATTTGCTAGCGTTGAATATAAAACGCCTATTGGCATTTTTTTCTTTAAGGAATAATATTTAATATAGTGAAACAAAAACTGGTTAAGTCATTTCAAATACAAAACTATATCAAAAGTTCAATGTGGAACATAGACTGCTTCATATGTAAGATATTTGCCACAGTTGTAACACGTTCCTGCAAATTGGCTACCGCCGCATTTTTGCTTTGAATTGTTATCACGAAGATGCTGCCTATCTCATGTTTCAGTTACTCACAGTCGTCTCGTATGACACTTAAGAGATGATATAGGGTATGGTATTTTCTTACCCTGCGACTATACGGTGAAAATCTGAGCACGCGACTTAGTCAACGAAAATTGAAGAGGAGATAATAACAGCTAATCTTCTGGGTACAGCTTCTATATTTACGATACGACGTTATGAGGGACTCATTTTTCATAATTTATTATTCTTATTATTCGGACTTACCCACTTCGCTGGTTAGGTTGGTTGATAATTGCGGGGCTGATACCCTTGCAATTGTTATGTTGTTCGTCATTTCTATTCGATATTATATTATATATTTTATGTCATCATCGTTATCGTTATCATTACAGGCCTTCACAAGTCTACTACTGAACGTATGCCTTGCTCAAGGAATGCCACAAAGCATGGGCCTCAGCCACCATCATCCATCAATTTTCTGCATGTCCTACCAGGTCAGCACTCCATCTAGTGGGGGGCTAACCTACACTTCACCTACCTGTACGAGGCTGCCACTCGAGAACCTTTCTTTCCCATCGGCTGTCGGTGTTGTTGTTTGTTGTCATGCACTCCATCGGATGTTAAATCCTGGTCCATCTACACAAAGTATGGACTTTATACTTGTATTAGAATTTAGAAGAAAAATAGAAATATAAGTGATCTAATAACGCAAAATAATGACAGTGGAAACAAACTTCGACTTTCGTGGAACTATTCACAGCGTACAGAAGCCGCACCACATTGTACAGTTGACTGGAGTACAGTCGGTAAATTACGAAGTTTGCTAAGTTGCCGCTAACGTGCTTAACTATAATTAACTGATTTAAATATTTATAGTGTCATAATTTGTATTTAATGTTTATTGATATTCACTATAAATATTTGTTTGTGGCTGCCGCGTTATAATTATGAGTATCCATAATATAATGGTCTTATCATAAAAATCCCTAAAACGTTTGTAATGTTCCGTGATTATAATGCTTAATAATAACGTTTCTTAATTTTATTAAAATATCCCATGCGTGAAATTTTTTGATGATTAATAATGTCTATCTCATAAATATAGACGTCTAGTTAAGAAATACTTAATACAATACAATAACTTTATTCCAGGCATTAAGAACTTAAAATTTAAGAACAATGGCCCATAGCAATATTTAAATAATTTTAGGTTATAAATTTAATTTATTAAATTTTAAATATTTTAGGTTATATATATATATATATATATATATATATATATATATATATACATATATATATACATATATATACCCTAAAATATATAACCTAAAATATGCATAAAACAAAAACATAACATTATTTAGGGAATTTTCTTCTTTTGTGCGTCCCTGTGCTACTCCGAAGGGCCAGAATCGGGAGCGGAGAATATTCTTTTGTATTTCGCAGGAACCTGGAGTACGTAGTATTTGAAGTTCCTTGACCTATTAGACTCCAGACGCTGCGAATTGAAAGAAATTGGGTCCTCTATGCGGCATCGGCTTCGTTCTTCCGCGAAACGCAGGACGTCTTCTCACGACGTACTTTTGTCCAAACGGAAAATTTATTTACTTAAAGTTACTTCTTTCAGCAAACTAAAATAAAAAGGGACATGTATAACGAGTAAAAAAACAAAATAATGAACGAATAAAAGTTCGTCAATGTTTTTTAGCTTAAATTACAAATAAGCACTATGTAAACACGTTAAAATATTTGTTCCAATTATCATATTTTTGTTATTTTTCTTAACAGCCGTTAACTGTAAAGATATGCCCATAATCGTGACATTTGACAAATGGTTTGGCGTTAACAGTAGGTACCTGATATGTCTCGTACTTTTAGAGCAAGATCCCAAGGCCCCCAAACCTTACTTATTTTCTGATGAACAAAATATTTACAACAGTGTGTACAATGAACGTATACATACCTGCTGGGTTAGGCCGACGGCCAATTCTTAGGTACCAGGTGATACAGGTACTTAGAAATTGTACTCACTTTACTTAGTCTGAGGACTGATTGTTACGTATGTTGTAAGGAATATTGTAAACAATTTGAAATTACTACTGCCAGACATCCTCTGTCGGCAGTGTTTATTGTCAGACACTTTAAATATCGCAAGCAAAAAACACAAACTTATTTACAGTCTGAGACTTGATTTTTATCTATCTATATATATATATATATATATATATATATATATATATATATTTAGGGGGTTATTTTAATATATTTTGTAAGCTGCCAGACCAACTCTATACCCTAAGCATTAAAAGTGTCGCTGTGAGTAAGAGCAAAAGACCATTACAAATGCGCTTAAGTGTGAGCGTGATATCTGTACGTATACCTATAACGTGTGTATTATTTAGTATTCAGTCCAGGGTGATCCATCTTTGTATAAAATTTGAGAAATTTGCACACAATTACATTTTGTCACATGTATGGGTTATGGAAGTAGAATCAAAGAGAGAAAAAGATATCGTTGATTCTTTCCTTCACGTTGTTTTAGATTGCTATTTAAAAAAATATACACATATATAATTTACAAATGTACTTACATAATTATTATATCGGAAGAAACTGAAAATGTTAGTTCTGTGCTATATATTTTTATGTTTGCACCAGTTTACAAACTAAGAGTTTGCAAACCTTAGAGTAATATGTATTTACATACATATTACTCTAAGGTTTGCACAATTAAAAAAAAATATTTATAATATTATAATATTTATAATATGGCCGGAATGTTGGATGCAGCCAGGATTCAATTGTTTATAAACACATAATATACTGTTTCCGACGTAAATGAAGAGTTCAACCGGAAACATTTTAAAAACTTTGACGCTAGCAGCTTACCACCGTGCAAAGCTGAGCTTCTGCAACAATTCCGGCGAGCAAATTACATTGCTAGCATCTGGAATATTACTCGAATGAAACAACCAAATATTTTCAGTCCGGAAAATAATGGATGTAAGTCGGAAGATAACCAGTATCAAGTCATACTGGTATGTTGGGGACCAATTACCCGCTTTTGTAAGTGAAACGTTTGAAAAAGTATCAGGTATCGTTTAATATCATAATCATTTACTTTATTTGTTATTTATTGTGTTAATTATTTTATTTGTTTTACAGAGAAAGAAGCTGTGCAAGCTGACGATGACAATGATGGTATTAATATTGAATACCAACACCGGCTGAGAAAACCGTAAAATACTTATTGTGAATAATGATACATATTTTTATTAATTCTTACAAACCTTTCATCATGCACTTTTTTATAAATTAAATATACTAATAAACTATAAAATTATGCAAAATCTCTGAACTTCAATCCCTATAAAAACATTAGTTTTCTAAATATAAGTATATTTAATACAGAACTTTTGTTCGTAAA